TCCTGCTGGCACAACTGGAAACTTTTTATAAAGTCAAGATTGCATCTACAATAAAAGGACAGTCACGTTTTACGAGGCAGGTGATTAGAATTTCTTTGAAAATATCTATAAATACCTCTTGTAATGGAGGCAATATTTGGTTACAATTAAAATGTGGATAAAATGGAATCCTTGCCATAGTTGACATTATTAGTAACATTTATAACCAGTATATGTTTTGATTTCTTACTCTTTTTCAATCCTTACTTTTTCTTTCAGTTACTTGTATGTAAATATTTTTATTTTAACCTGTAAGTTGTTATTTACAGGTGCAGATGATAAAGAAAGCTAATACTTTGCTAGAGGTATAAATTATGTTTACTCTTTCTCAGCTGACAGCTTGAGGTTTTGTTTCTTTTTTTTTTTTTTTCAATGTTTGCTGTGTTTATCAAATCTGGAAAGGATCTGCAGAAAGCAGTGAGAGGCCTAGTCCTGAAAATGTCTGAGGCACATGAAATACAGTGTTGACTTTTCTTAAGAGAATTCAACACGTCCAATTATTTTCAAGTACAGTGTGGTAGAACGAGTACTGGTGAACAAAAGTTTCTGAGGAATGATTTCACAATAGTTTGTTCTTAGTTGCTGGGCATGATAAACATCTATAATTGAAAAATAAATTGTGTGCTGATTATATATACAATTAAACATGCATTGTTTATTCTGTCTGGAGATTCTAGTGTGCTTTGGAACATTTAAACCAAATAGAAGAAGAAGGATAAAATTTTAAAAATGGAAGATATATACCAAAGGGTTAATGAGGTTCTAATATATGGTTTATATGCTGAAAGTAGTGCAAAATTTCCGGACTAATTTTGTAAGGTAGGCGATTATTTTGCAAAGTAATGGTATCTTTGTAAGAAAATACTCTATTGAAAACAGGTAGATGGTTGGTATATTTTGTAGCTAAATTGTGATCTTTACAAATTCTGAAATTGAGTTTATATACGTATTTTGACAGTTTATATATTTCATTTTAGAAAAACAAATGAAATATTTTGTGAACCAGATTTTCAAGCATATATTTTTATGGATAGTACAAAGTCAAATGAGATCGTCTTTGGTGTAGGAGATATTTGAATTAATTTTGTATGTCTGTAGGCAACTTGCAAAAAAATGGATCCTAAAGAGCATTGGGAAAAAAAGGAAAAAAAAAAAAAAAAGAGATCAGGGCTTTTTATTCCCCACAGTTGATATTATCTGCACATTAGATCTGATTGCTATCAGAGATTCTAGTTTGTATGATTTGAATTTGTTTCAGGTGAAAATTAAATGTTTGACGTGATCAGGACTCTTTCGGGTGCGGAATCTCCGTTCTTGGAGATACTCAAAAGCCGTCTGGACGTGGTCCTGGGCAGCCTGCTCTAGGTGCCCCCGCTTGAGCAGGGGGTTGGCCAAGGTGACCTCCAGAGGTCCCGTCCAGCCTCAACCACTCTGTGATTCTGTGATTCTGTGAAATAGAAAAATGTGTATGCAGTGCTTATTGCATGAATAATAAATACACTATTTTCCATAGTTAGGATTGAATCCTGCTTCCAGTTATGTCAGCGGGAATTGCACTATGGACTATGCTATTAAAAAGGTGTTAGAGCTACGTGTGTGTGTTGTGCTAGCTCAGATCCGGATGAAATTAAAAGATGTACTCACTCCCTAGATGTGTAATGCTTATCATATGGTCAGTCGACATTTTTTACTTTACTCATTTTTGAATTAATGGACTTCTTAGCAAGCAGAGCTCTTTGCAAATGGTATGAGAACAACTGCATTCCACAATCACATTGTTAGCAGGCTATAAAAATACGGTTTTTTTCTAAAGTTTCTAAATCTATGATTCTTACGGACATGATCCAGGATACGTTTCCTTCAGGCCAAACAGAAGTATACATTTGCATTCACGATCATGTCCAAGAAGTGTGCTTTTGTTGCACATCAAAAATAGCGAGCAAGGCTGAGAACGTCATTACGTTAGGGAACTGCTCCAAAAGAGGTGCTTGGTGCCTCCTATTTCTGTTGGTGGAATTTCAGGAAAAATGAACACCTTGGAACGTGCTTAGCACCTCCGGGAATTGGACCTTTTTGCTCGGTCTCCCATCGGGTGTGCGTACGCTGTTTGGCATATGTTTAAGAAGGTTTGACCTACAGTACTGAAACTAATTTGGTAACTCCTCTGTATGGTATTTTGATCCTCACTGTGTGCTGTTGTTCTTTACCTTCTTTTGTAATACGGAATAATAATAAAAAAACCTATCAAGTGTTAAGACTGTAAAAAAAAAAAAAAATGGTGGCCAATTCTTTCTGTATTCAGCAAGTGAAACAAATGTAGTGCTGCCAGCCATAACATTAGTAAATTTTTATCCTCTTAAAATAGTGTTTTGGAAAGAGCAGCTTATTTTTCATCATGGAAATATTAAACAGTAACATGAATTTGCTCTTTAAGTAATCACTTATCATGAAGTACTTATTTTGGAATTACTTCAAAATCTAGATTGTAAGAGAGTAAAATCTATATCCTGAGAGTAAGAGATGCAGTACCTAATACTGTTCTGCTGGTTATTTCCAAACAAAACTTGCTTTATATGAATTGTAAATATTTGTCAAAACAATTAGATGGTTGCAAATTTTGACCTTGGTAAATAAAGTCGCCAAAATATAATTCTCATGTTCCTTATTTGTTTTTAATTAACATAGTACTGCAGCGGTTCTGACCAAGTGTTGCATACTTGTGTGGTATCAGGTCTCTTACAGTGGCCAAGAATAAATATTTAGTCTATGAAACAGCACCCAGAGATCTTTTATTTGCTGTGTCCTTTCAGCAGTCAGAGTGCTAAGTTATTTGTGCATGAATTTTAGTTGTCACTAAAAATAATTAGTGGAGAATACCTTTTATCTTTCTGCAGGTTTTTTTTTTTCCTTTTTAGTTTTCAGTTAAGCTGAGCCACTGTTCACTAAAAACGTTTTGTGCTCTGCTGGTATTCACCCAGCAGAGGGAGCATCTGCCATCTACAAAATCGTGGTAGTATTACTGAGTAGTACTTAAGCTTCTGACAGCTGGAAAAGCATAGAAATAGGGTAGGAAAAAAGTATTGTCAGTTGGTAACATTTCTATATTCGATTTCATTATTAGGGTCAAGGTCGTTATCATTTCCTCCGCTGTTAGTATGGATATCAAAGGCAGAAAACAAAAAAGATAACACAGTTGCAAACACGACTTCTAAAAAATAAGTGTGTGTCCTTTGGCTCTTAGATTTATTCTGAAAGAGGAGTTAGCTCTTTTCAAAGTTGTAACAGGCAGACCAGACCTCTACGATGATGACGCAACGGTTTGTCCCTTTAGAAAGTCTACGCAAGTGCTGTAGGTATCACGGTCAGAAAGATGGTAAGTGTAACACTCACGGGATTCACAGCCTTGCTGCTCAACAGAAGTTCAGATTTTATCCATCTTCTGTATTGAGACAGACGGACGTAGATCCCAGGAAATTTTGCTTGGCCACAGCCAACTCCAAAACTAGCAATCCCTATGAGATAGTATTTGTTGGTACTAGGGTAATAGCACGCTAAAGGTCCACCGCTGTCTCCCTATAAATAAATTATATGAAAAACTAGTAACGTATGTCCCCTTCCAGGAGTCAATGTAGAATGAAGTCAGTAATGCATCCACTTTTTTCTTTAAACTTTTTTTAATAAGCTAACTGGACAATAATAATGACAGTAATACATGGATAGTAGTACACAGACAAGATAAAATTCGGTGGTGCTGGGTGATGCTACCTTGACTAGAATACCACACTTGCATTAGTTTCAGTGTCTTTAGCTAAAGTTCTGTTGTTTTTCTTTCTGCACCTTTTCAGGTTAAGGCTTGTCTCCCTAAACTTTCTCACTCGTAAGTTAATAGGAGAGTATGTTGTCCGCACAGCGTGTAAGTACCAAGCACACGGTAGTGACTACACAACCTGAATCTTTGCCCTATCACCTACTTAAAGGAAAACTGCTGAGGAAAGCAAGAAGTGGATCAAAGTACTTATGAATATGTTACGGTTTTTAATTATTAATGTCTCTGTATCACAACTGGTGCCCCAGCTTTTGCATACTAGTGTTTCTGACCTGAAAACTGTCTTTTCTGAGGAAGAGGTGCTGATTGCTCAGCATTTAAATAAAAATCTCGCCACATCACTGAACCGTATCACTTTCCAACGCTGCTACTCTCTTTCAAAAGCTAAGAACAGGGAAGATGCTCGTGTGCTTCACACAGACTGCAGATATACAGTGATACATGTGTGTGTATCCATACGTATGTTTGGGTAATGTCCTATCACTTACTGACATCTTTGTGGCAAGTGGTGTATAAATACAAAATACAAATGTGTTTGCTGTTTTTCTCCTTTCACTTTAACCTATTCTTGTCTTCTTCCGAGTATCACTGAATTCTTTGTGTGTTTCTGAGATGCGTTTTTTCTTTGGAATCACCATCTCGCCTCTCTTTCTATTTATGACGCTGCTTTTGCAGTTTGACATGTTTTCTGTTTAGTATTTCTGCCATTTTAATTAATTATGCTACAAGTGCTGGTCATCGTGACGCCCCTGGGACTCTGGCTTGGTGGCTTCCGTAGTGGCAGGTCAGGCACAATGTTCTTTCTTACCTGACAGGTGTCGGTGCCTCCCGATCGAGAGCCAGCACAAATCATGTTGTTGTTAACCAGGCCTCCATACGCATCAGAACTGTTACAGACGCTAGAAGGAAT